AATGTATTAGATATATATTTTAATCCCCGACGAAAGTAGATAGGATCTTATATGATTGATATCTATGTTCGTATATGTTTGTTGATTATTAAATTTTGATGTTTTTTTTTATTAAAAACATAGGCTTTTAATAAAAAAAAACATCAAATTTTTCTAGCTTCATTTGACCGAAATCGATATTGCTATTTTTTATTAATTTTTTTAAAAATGTTTTTTAATTTTAACTCTATTGTATTAGAATCATAAAACTTAGCAAGAAGTTATACTACAAGAAAAAGAAAAAACCCGAAAACCGTAAATTTATAGTTACATCACCAAAAAAATAATTTCTTAATTGTAACACGTTGCAATTATAGGTTTTAGGGGGATAATTTTGCAAGGAAACTGAAAACATACTTTGAAAAAGCGGTAAAATATCGCATTTACTTCTTAATAAGATTTTTTAACGTTTTCCTTGAATAAATTACGACCCCACCCAAGGTAATTGTTAAATCCAAAGATGTTATGATACGGATATACGGATCCGATAGTCTTGGTTGCATATGTTAGATTAATTGTAAAGATAATCCCACAAGAATGATTGAATGAATGAATAAAATGACTAAGTGATAGGAGTCTGATTTAGGCTAAGCTCCGCCTATTCGAAATTATTCGAATCTTTTATACCCGATTCAATTATGGTCTCATGATCTAAAATGACTTAGCGATAGAAGTCTCATTTAGACTCAGCTCCACCTATTCTAAATGATTCGAAACTTGTATCAGATTCAATTATGATTTCGGATAGATTTTTATTTCGGATATCCGATAGTTTAGGTTACGGTTAACATTCCTAATTGGATCCACGCGAAGAACGATGGTAAAATCTTATTTTAACAAGGAGTAAATACGATTTCGTACACCTAAAATAAAAAAAAAATATCGTACTTTCCGTAGGGCTATGTTAAAAAGTGTTTTAATTACCTGACAACTGTCGATATCTTAAAAACCGAAAATCAATTTTATTTACATGTATGTATGTAACTAACTAGATTTGTAATCTCGACGTATTCTTCTGTCGAATAAGAAAAATCAATTTTGCAAGTTTCAAGGACGCTGTAAGTCACACAATAAACAACTGTTACCGAAATAAATACGTGTTGGGGAAGCACAAGCATTGTATTTCACAAATAGCCCCTTTAGTATTGTTTCATTGTTTCGAAAATAAACTGCTGCGGTTCAACCGCAATTCTGTATTCAGATAAATCGAGTGGCACAATTTTTCGTGGCCAGGCCATTTGATTCCCGCTACATCCGTACAAGGATCCTGTTTACGTAATTCCTATTGTTATTTGATCTTTTCGAAATACATTCTTATCACACAATTTCTTCTTCTGATTTATGTTTTCGTAAGCTTATTAAATTTCAAGGTGTCTATTTTTCAAATAAATTGCAAACACCTCCGCGTTCACTCAGTAAAAGACATTCGCATGCTGACGTACCTATGTGAATATTGCCTTACAAAAAACTTCAGTCAAATTAAAATAAAATAATTCGAAGTGGTCTGTATTCTGTCGAAACTGGCAGACGCGGATCGCGATTTCAATCTTTTTGGATCTCATCAGCGCGTCGCAGGCAGCTCGACAGTACACAGACCAACTTTTACCTGCTGTCTTAACAGTGCGTTTCACAAAATACTACAAACGGCACAGTGAACGCCATCTGTGGCACGATGCTACATTTTAGGATTACGTATTTTTCAACAAGGTCCACTTGTGTGGATATCTACTTGCTAAAAACGAATCCCGGTGTAGCCAACCTCAACGGGATAGGCACGTTAGCTTAAACGAATAAAATAATTCGAAGTGGTCTGTATTCTGTCGAAACTGCCAGATGCGGATCGCGATTTCGATCTTTTTGGATCTCATCAGCGCGTCGCAGCGCTCAACAGAACACAGACCAACTTTTACCTGCTGTCTTAATGTAGCATCGTGCCACAGATGGCGTTTACTGCGCCATTTGTAGTATTTTCAGTCAAATTGTTTAATAGCGAGGGTGGGAAAATTAACCCCTCCACCCTTAGTTAGTAATTGGCTATACTCTGTACAAAGTATACACTAGCGAGAATATTAATAACGATAATATCTTTTTATTGTTTAACTAGGTTTTTTCCACGGCTTTAAACTCAAAAACCTTTCAGTGTTTATTGTGGAAAATGGTTAGATAATCTTATACATATTAGGTTATTTAGGAGAGATGTAATTTATTTGAAATACTTGCATTGAAAATACAAATAGAAAATAAAAATGCCTATTTGTATGTTGCATTTAAATACTTTAAAAAAAAAACATTTTGTATTTTACTTAAAATACTTTTCCAAACGTATTCTCTATTTATAAACTGCAAAATACAGGCCTGACGCTGGAAGGTGGCGGAAATTTTAAAATGGAGTGGATGCGCGGTGGCAAAAGTAGGCATCAGTTTTAGGTATAAAGATTGCAGCCCTCATTCTTCAGTATTCCTAGCAGGGGCGTAGATTAAATATTTAAAAATAGGGATCAGTGAGAAAGTAATAGACAGACAAACAGAAGAACTAATTGTTGATGTTGGTGACAGTGATAGAGATTCCCATGATGAGAGTGAATGTGAAAACTAACCATAAAACAAAAGCAATAGGTTAAATTTTTCTTTTTGATAAGTCATGTTNGTTGATGTTGGTGACAGTGATAGAGATTCCCATGATGAGAGTGAATGTGAAAACTAACCATAAAACAAAAGCAATAGGTTAAATTTTTCTTTTCTATAAGTCATGTTTTTACGTTATTTTCTAGTACGCTATTGTCCTATCTGTATTAATACTATAATTTACGCCTACTGGAAGCTTACGGCTCGCCAGCTTCCATCGTCAGACCTGTACATTTTTGCCGTTAATAGTTTGGCTAGTATCACCGATCAAACATTATATAAAATGATGAATGAAAGTTGCTCACATTGGCTATTGAAGTTTTTAGAAGCGTGAAAAAGGGGACAAAGAGGGATTCCATGAATGCGTTCTAATTCTATAACTAAAGACAGCCCAAAAAAATCTAAACTCCTTAGAAATGGATAATGTAAAATATTGGATCGATATTGTTTTCCGTGTTCAGTATCATAGTCCATGGAATTTTGAAGTTCCAAATTGATATCAGCACGTATCAAATCACTACTTATCGTACCTTTAGCAAGGAACTACGAAATTCTATGAATTACGACAAAATAGCTTGCAAAACAATGTCGAATTGATATAGGCCAGCTGTGTAAAACTGAAAACTAGAAGATATTGTGGTGTGCTAATAAATGCCTATAATCCAAAATGATTCGAAAAATTTCACTTGTTAGATGAGCCCAAAGCTAAAGAAACTATAGATTCAATTTCTTTCTCTTAATAGAATGTGTAAAAAATCGGAAACAAAATGGGGTTGTAAATATTTTTATATAAAATCGTTAATGTTGATTTTACATCAGTAAAATTATTTGCAACCGTATTTTGGCTCTGATCTTTCACGATAAACAAACTATTTTGGCGTCAGTGTCTTTTTTCCAATTAAAACGGATGACAAAGGAGGCATATAAAAGAATTATTTGTTGCCTAAGTGAAGAAACTATAACATAAAAATAGAAAGACTATATCTCAATCACTTCAAACACAAAAATATGAATCATACTCAATCTTCGCAGCTGGTGATATAGTGTAAACACCACTATTAATCTAGAAAAATTCCAATATTTAAAAAATGAGCAAATGCCTGCAAGGTTTTCTTATTTTATTTGTCCTGAATCAATGGGCTGAAAAGCCCTTTTACAAAATCATAACAATTTATAAATATAAGTATATATTGGTGGAGAAATGTAAAATTGAACATAAATAGGATAATTATATATAATTAATTATTGATAGTTAATCACATAATTGA